TCTCAATCCATGTGATCTACACCTTAGCGGCAAAAGTCAATCGAAGTGAATTCTAGCGGGCCTAGTGTTGGGGAGGAACTCGCTATGAATCATTGTACCTCGTTGTTATTGCTTGCAATCAGCACATTTGTCGGTAGCATGTCATGGAAGTTCTTCTAGCTAATATCTATTGTGAATGTCCGCCCACTAAATCTTCACACTTTCGACCGAAAAGCCTAGATATGAGGAGCATGATGAATGCCATTTCTGCTCGGCTACACCAAGGCCATGAGGCCACGGCATATCTCGATGTGCGGCCATGGGGAGGTGGAGCGCACGGCCGCCATGGTGTGGCGCCAGGGAGGAGGTGGGCCGTTGCTTCTACTTTTCAAGCTGTGTGTGGCCAGTGGAGACTCCAATCGACAGCCAATGTGGCAGTGTGGCATCTTTCTCTCCAAACATCAAACGTGAGTCGAACATCTGCTGAAGGTCCAGGTTGAAAGGGCCGGACAAGTGGTATGCCGTGCACATGCTGGGGTCCTCACTCGTCCATGAGGGCATCCTTTTTCCGAAAACGCGAAGGACGGAAAAAGGATATTCAACGTATCCGCGCCACACTAAGTGTACCCTAGAAACCTTCTCTGGGAATGAGCTAGCTCATCTGTAATGCGGCAGTAATGCACATCCAAATTGATCCTATTGAAAAGTATCATGCGAGTGTGGCAGATGCAAAGCTGCTTCTGCCTACAACTGCTGCACTTCCAACTCCAAAAGTGCTGGATTCTGCTGCAGCGCTGCGGCATGGCGGTATGTATGGGAAAGGCGTGCACTCCAGCTGCTCTGCAACAAACAGCTGGGCCAATAACAGACGTCCCTGACACGGTCAACTGATTTGATATTCGGTGCTATCTAGAGAGTCTGGCTGCACATATTCATATAATATGCATACTGCAGACTATACTGTACGTGGAATAGCAAGCCTTGATCTTTTGCACGAGAAGATAGGATCAATATAGCCGCCAGGTCAAAAGGTGACAAATGAGCCTTCTACTGGACGTGACTTGCTCCTTCTCCCTGTTCAGGGCTGCGGCTACACGTTAGTGCAGCCTCAGATGAGTCTAAAACCTTCATCAATCTATTAAACTTCAACAGAATGGGCGCCTGGAACATCTAATGTCCACTTCACCCGCAGCACAGGGTACTCCCAAACAGGGTGTCCACTTTCACAAATGGTGCTGATACACATTGAAATTCACCTGCCTATGACCCACCAGGCAATTTGGTGGCTTTTTCGTGTTCCTCGGAGTCTGACGGTTTGGGTGAAACGGACGCCAAATCAGCTGGTTTTAGCTGTGGCGATCTTTTTGTTGGGATGAAGATGTGGCAAAGGGGTAGCTCAAATGGCTTGGTCAAAGCAAGTTGAACCCAATTCTCCATTTGAAGGGCCAGCCGGCCCACAGGATGAACCCTGCTGGGTGCATGAAAGGCAAAAAGAATCAAGCTTGAGCTTTTTCTGGGATCGAATCGGTTTGGCCAGGCCATGGCAACAATTCCAGTTTCTTTTTTGCTGAGTAGTATATAGGCACCGAAGTCACTTTGAGCCATCCCCACAACAAGTGTTTAATTCTCTTGCAGCTCATCACTCCTGAGCCAACGGAAGAGCTCAGCGTAGAAGGAAAGAAAAGCTGTGTCCAAGTCGGATTGGCATGTGGATCCAATCACTTGACACCCAAGCAGTTATGACAGTTATGAGGTTCTATGGCTCACGCAAGTCCGGAACACCCAAAACGCAAAGAACAAAACAATCCGACTTGAGGCCCCATAGATGGCCCGGCTCTATGCGCGGCTCCCCGTCTTCAGATCCTTCGGCCAATACCACCTTTATCCACCTGAGGTCTTATTGGGGGGGGGGAAGACCTCTCCTCTCCTGATGTGCGGAGAAAACCCGACCGGAACCGCCTTCCGCAGTGATCGGCTGGGCGATCGGCTGGGCAGGACGGGGGGGGTGAAGCGGATCCGGTCGTGTTCTTCCCCGTGTCGAGAGGGCCCCGAAGAGGCTCCCAAGATCCGTTCTGCATCTCCCCTCCATGTCTGACCGCGGTGCGTCGCAAGTGAACATGGCGGAAAACTCGGAATTCCGCCATGTGGGCGAATGGACTCAAAGGTCGTGTCCCCTCATGTGTCACAAAGATGAGCAGCAGAAGCTGTCAGGACTTCTCACTTGGTGTTTGGGGTCTCCTGGTCTCCTATTCTTATCCTGCACAGAAGGGGACGTCTAAGAAATATGGTCGAAATATGGTACTGGAAAATGCTCGCTTGCCATCACCACGGTGTTGCTCCCTCCCTCCCTCCCTCCCTCCGTCTGAAGAGGGAAGACCGACCTCTTCCGCCCAAGCTGCTCTGCTGCCATGATCTTGACCTCTTCCACTTCTACCGGATCGATGTCACCTGCAGGACGCCAAGGCGAAGGCGAAGAAGGATTGAAGCGAAGCCCAAGCGAAGCGAAGCGCAGGTTGGCCAAAAAAACACCAAAAAGAACATGAAAAAGCTGGTGACCACAAATCAGAAGATGTCCTGATTGGGCTGGTTAATGCTGGTTGGCTATTGATTTGGCAAATAAAGACGTGTCCACCAATAAAGTACCAAATCAAAGGATGTGCTGCCCAATGGCCCAAGTTCCCGGGGATAAGCCGCACCAAATGCCTTTTTTCGGTTTCAAGGGCAAGCGCTTCATCTAGCCCCAGTTCCAGCCGTGGTGTGTGTGTGTGTTCAACTCTCGGTGTGTACCAATAACAAGACCATGGACCAGCAGTCACAAGACGGGGTGCGATCCATGGAGGTAGTCGGGGTGCCCAGCTACTCCACTCACTTGGGGACTAAACACCACCCCGACATGTGACTCCTGGGAGAGGTGTCTTTTTATCCAAATGAGGGGACTTTCGCCAACTCGTTCTCAGGTGATCCAAAACATGTCGCGAGGGACTCAAGCGCCCAATGGGTATGGAGTTGAGCTTCTTCACATACTTCATTGCATATGTCCTGCAGCCCGGTGCATGTCAACAAGATGCATGCAAGAGAACCAAAAGAAATATCCTTGTGTGTGAAACTATCTATCTGCACCCTTGATCCTTGCAAACACTGAATCACTAGAAGAGATATATACAGTGGCCGAAGTAGAAGGCAAAGTCCTCTCAAGTTAGGTTGTTCATATGGACCCTTCAAAAGTTTGTGGACCCTTCATATGATGGAACCATCCCCTATGAACCCAGCACACTGGTGCGCAATTCTTTCAAAATGAACGCAGTTCCATAGTAGGGGCAACCGGCTGTCTCGAACACTACAAAGCACGTTGTAATATTGTTATATACAACTGAAGGTGTTTTTTTCAAAAGAAGTGTCCGCCAAGAATTTGTTGATGCTGATGCTCTGATGCTGCTAATAAAGCTGTTCCTTCAAAACCTGCACTGGAAGATCTTTCCCTACAAAACGCATGACATGGCAAGTAACTGAGGCCCAAACTGAGTTTGCCAGCCCATATCCAGACGAAAAAGCATACCCAAGCACAACCGATGGCACTGCCACAATTTGCGGGTGATCTGGGGGGTCAATGTAGGCTAATATGGCAGTCCCATTAGTCGTGTCTGGGATAGGGTAATTGATCCGAGAATCCGTATGACTTCCATGTAAAAACACACACACCACACCTAAACATACCTAAACCCATCAGTCCCATCTTCGAGTTCACTCCCGGATCCCGATGTCCCCCAAAAAAGCATGCCAAACCATGGAGTGTCTGGGTACAGGACACCCATGGATTTCAGCCTCCAAACTTAGGTTTACCATGGTTTATCATGGTTTACCTAATAATAAGATTGAACCATGGTGTTTACCATGGTTTACCATGCTTTACCTATAGATCTTCCCTGAACGATCCATTCTCGCGCGTCCTGGCATAGAGCCACGGCCGTGGATGCGACTTGAAGCACTTCACGAAGGCCTGTGCGGCGACGAAGGCCAACCTCGGTGCGCCCGCGAAGAGTCCGCGGCGTCGTGCGGAGCGTGGGGCTGATGGAAGAGATGGGAAGAGTCCAGGGCCCCCGTTTGGGCCGTGCCGAATGGACACCAAGGAGCTCTTATTCCCTAGGGCTCCTGGCCCATAGCCTCAGGTAAGGTGGTTAGACCCCAAAAACCCACCCCAAGCACCTTCTCCTCAGGAGGTGGGCCAGGAGCCCTAGGGATTAGACATCCAGGGGGCCGGCCTAGGGTGGTTGTGATGCCAGGCCGCGGGGAGAGTCGGATGGCGTGCCAGGCTGCGGGGAGAGCGATGCGGTCATAAAGGAAAGACGTGTAGTAGAGACGAGTAGAAGCGGGTAGAGTATATATACCGTACATGGATGATCGAAATGATCAAATTCCTTCTTCGGTTTGGGACACGCCATGTCTTGACCGAGTTCACTCTCAAAGAGCTGTCGGGACCCGCGTGATCCCTCACAGTAGGGTGATTCGAGGAGGCGGTCCAAAAGCAGCGCGGTAGGAGTCGAGACCCGCGAGTCCAACAGTTTCAGCATCGTTCTATTCCAACGCAATTCCTGTTTTCTGAGAGATGATTGAGAATTCGTGAGAAGAAAGATTAAGTATTGGTGACCTTGATCAACTCCATTCAAATCCTAAATGCCGCGTTTTGGGTCATCAGCTGGCCCCATCCGCCGATTTCACCGCATCCGCCGTCGGACGCCAAACGGTCGACGATTCGACAGATCCGCTGAAAAGAACGCGACATGTTTTCCTGCCATGTGGTCAGCTGAAGATGGAAACTGGTGGGAAGTGTTCGTCGCATCGCGACATCCCTTCGATTTGGTGATACCTCGCAATGGCTCAAAATCGGGGGCCCTAGAGAAAGAAGGACACGATTTTGAGCGGGCCGCAAAAAAGAGAATCTGGATTTTGAGCCACCACCTACTACATGTAGACTCATCTGCAGTTGCAAGCCAAAAAAACATGAATTATCATGAATTATCTGTCGACCCTTGGAGCGAACATCAAAAAAGTATCTGGCAACTGCCAAATAGCCTGTGCCTAGACGACTCCTTCAAGAGAGTCGGTCTGCATAGACATCTCCGGCGGCGTCTCACATTCTCTGAAGGAAGTGCCAATCCTCAGAGACTACGCAATGGCAAGAGCGAGTTTGTGTAAAACCATGTGTGGATTAAATTAGAATAGGAAAACCCTCAAGCCAGGTGTTTTGTTTCTCTTGTCACTCAAGCCTTTGGCCATGGAATGACTTTGGAAAAGCTCCGTGCTCAATGTCAAGAACTTTGTTCACCTTCCAAAGCTGGTAATGCAAGCCAGCCAGCCTTTCCAGCCAGCCGTACGATCTGATTAAAAGTTGAAAGTTTTGTGCATAGTGGTGGTATGAGGGATGGTCAAAATTAGCTGATACCTCTCCCAACATGGGACTTCGGATGGATTTGGGTAGATCACCACTCAGATTTGTGAGGGCGTCCCCCCATATCCGTCTGTCCATGCCATGTCTAGACGGACTACAGCACTTTTGACCATGACCGTTGTTCGCGTTCTCTACCTTTGACCCCCACAAACGCATCACAACTCGAAGCGATTCACATGGAGTTGGGTGGTGTTTAGTGCCATATCCAGAGGGCAGATGCGATGTAACAGGGGCTCACAGACGGCATTCCGCACTTGGACCCTCCAACTGCTGGCGCCTTGGGCTTTCGAAGGGTCAGACCCCACCGGTCCGAGTCCGAGTCGGAAGGTCCCAAAACGTGGACAGCAAGGAGGTCATCCAGGAGATGTTCCCTTTCAACAGGTTGCTGGGTTGAGCTTTCCCCCTCTGTCAGTTCACTGACTGAGCGCTTCACTTCTGCACTTCTCGAACAGCTGCAAGAGCACCTTCCAGGACCTCGCCATGAGAAACCCGTCGTTCTTGAACAGAAGCATTTCTATTGCCGTGCACACAAGAAACAACCTATAGATGAACAAGGAGGTGAGCCACATCCTAGTCATTTTAGAGAGATGTTTTGGATCTCTTGCACCAGATATCGGGAACCAAATAAACATCACCCAGAGGCGACCCGAACGATTTCGGCCCCGAACCAACTGCTACATGTTGGTGAAGGGTCCATTTCACCCTGGCTGGTTTCGGGTGTCACCCTGGCGAACGACAACTCTTATCGATCCACCAGACTCTTTCCCTCGATCCACCAGGCTCTCTTCCAGCACCAGGCTCTGCCTCCACCGCACCCGACTTCCGCCCACAGACCGACCACGGCCGGCGCAGAGCTAGCCGACGCGTTGGACCGGAGCCGCGGCCTCGTTGGGAAAGGCCAGCATCACCGGAGGTAGGACCGTGGTCTGCGGCACCGGCCTCAAAGCGGAACCCGGCACGAAGTGAAGGTCCGCGAGTGGTGGTCAGCACGGCGGTTGGTAGGGGGACCGGAGTTGAGGCGGTCGGTCAGAGGTCGGGAGCCAAGTCAAGAAAACAAGCTCGGATGAAGTCTTCGTGCAAAGTAGATGGAACAGTTGGTGCAAGTTCGGTGAAGAAGGGTTTTTTCCATATGCATGCTGAAGCTGCTGAAGTGTTGAGCTCGATTCACTGAGTGCGTGGCGTGGCTTGCTCGGGATTCGAGTTGGCCTGTGTGTAGACTCCCGCCTGCACAGGCAAGCTACAGGTGTACACAAAAATGAGCTGCGCCCCTCCGGCGATTAAGCTTGGTCCAAAGCCAAGATTGCCACCAAGTGTCAAGTGCCTTTCCTTCTTTCATTTGCACTTGATGAGATGTCTCTCCAAACAAATCTCTGACTGCCCTTGCCACCATCCCACTCCATACATGGCCTCTGCACACACACAAAAAAACAATAAAAAAACATACACTTTTTGGCAGGAAGAGGGCGATATCTACAATCGTCTTCAACATCAAAATAACATCGATCAGTCTCATATATTCTTCCCCTTCAACCGTCATCCACCCACGCCGTGAGCTCCGCGCTAGCGCCGCACCTTCGGCAGGTCGCTGGCCCACTCACCAACGAAGACCTTGCCACTCTCGGCGTAGAAGTAGGAGCCACTCCCTTCTCTCAGGTCCTGGCCAAGGCGGCAGGGCGGCGCGCTGTGATTTCTGTTTTGCCTGGTGATGCCTGGTGAAAACAGCTGTTGGACATCAACAAAAGATACTGTACACCCTTAAGCCGCGTGGAGCTGGACGTGTGTCGCGAGCTGCAGAGGATTCGAAATGTTCCCCCCAAAAGGGGGCCCCCAGAGAGGAAAAATTGGACTGAAATAATTACTGTAAGCAGCCGCCAACAAGTTAACTATGACTTTCCAGCACAGGCAATGGGATGTGCCGAAGCAAGTCGGCTGTGTTGTACTCCAAGCTGCAAGCTCTGAAGCTTGAAGCGGAACCGGTAAATCACCGGAGGAAAAGATCTACCCAAACGCAACCCTGGACCCTCCTAAGTAAGCTCATATATCTGGACCCGCAAGTTTTATGATGGTTTTTATGATGGTTTTATGGTTTGCTTCGGGACCGGGCAAGGCGTGTGAACGGAGCGTCTGGGTGAAGTTCGTAGGTCTCGCTACGTCCGACGATATCACGTCTTCGTCTTCGCTCCCTAAAGCACCTAGTTCGGGCTCCGCAAACGCGAACGCAAACCCAGGCGGGCGAGGCATTGTACCAAAAGCCTTCATAGCAATCGCCATTGGCCTCACGAGGTAGCGGGGAGAGCGGAGGCAGCGGACCAGAGCGGGACGTCTTGACGTCGTCGTGAAGAGCAGCATCCGAGGTTCGGGAAGAATGAATAGGCCAGAGTGCCAGGTGCCATATTTTCTACTGGAGCACTTGTTTGTACACCTTGGGCTATGGCCCTCTATGCCTCAACCAACCAAGGGGCGTAGCTCTCCGGCTCTCTATACTGGCCGTGTTCCCAGGGCCATTTTGTCGCACGTACCGCGGCCGTGAGTTCGCGCTGGCGCGGGCCTTGGTGAGAGTGCCTTCGCCGCTGCGTAGGCCGTCGCACCAGCCACCGATGTACAAATCACCTGAGGCTGGCGGCGAATGGCATTGCTCCAACGGTCGGGCGGCGGCTCTCAGAATGTGGTGTGGCGCACGATGTTGGAGCTTTTGTGGGTTTTGACCCGGGTGCTCCGGATCGAATCAGAGTTCCCGATGTCGGAAGAGAAGAGGGTGGCTTCGACACACCCACATCCGTACTGGGAACCAAGTCCCAAACAGAAACAGTTCTGGTTGTTCCAATATGGCAAGAGAGAGAGAGAGAGCGTTTACACAGGAAATGGCTGGGACTGAAAAGTTCCATCCATTTCTTTCTGGTTGGCACTGGGTTTCCAAAGACTGGCTGACTCGATTTCAGGGGGGCTCTTGACGAAGTTCCATTCGCTGGATCGATGCCACACACACAGCTTGCTCCAAGTAGCCGTTGCTATACCTGAGCAGCCCCTCGCCGTGCATCTTGCCCTGCGTCCGTGGGGCGTGTCCGCTGGGTCGTCCGAAGGTTCAAACGGTCAGGTGGGGCAAACAGTCCACCAAACAGGGCTCCTACTGCAAGCTGCGGCAGGAGCAACAACTCATCTTGTTTATACATATAATATAATCATATAAATCATAAATACTATCAATTAACGATCAAATGAAGTCATTGCGCTATCCCAAAATTTGATGTTCTCACTGAATCTTCCTTTTAAACACATGGGACACTTTGGCCAATTCCCGCCCGCACCCGCAAAACTTGCAACCCCAGCCGCTCCGTGCGCAAGGCCATTCTTGGAGGAGCCGAAGACCAACCATCCCAACGACCGAGGTGTCGACAAACCACCTCGACCAAACCACGTCCACCGGCCTGGGTCCAATCGCCTTGGAAGAAGTGACCATCACTGAAGAAGCAGGTGCCTCTGCCTGGGGAGACCACATGTGAGATCGACCGGGATCGGCTTATAGAAATGCCCATAGTTACTATATAGCTTCTTTCTTCTAATTAGAATAGCATGGCCTCCAACGCAATAGCAATGGCCTCCAACCTAGTAGCTTCTACAGTCCATGTTCAAGCAACACTTCTCCTATCTTCTCCTTCCAGCTTCCACATCGCACTGGAACAGGCTCAAAAGAAGCTTCCGCGGCCCTGTGAGACCCTCACCGTGTCGCTTGTCATCCTTCCAGCCACCGACGTAAAGCTTCCGGAGCTTCTTCGCCTGCTGAGGACCACAGTGCCGGCGGAGTTCCGGGTGTTTGGTGATACATCAAAGCTCTATAGAGTCATGTAAAACCCAACCACTAGCGACTCAGTTCTCAGCTTCCAAGCATTGGACGCAAAGAGATGCACAGAGAAAATGCCGTGACTGCTGAATCCATGAAGTAAATCGCTGACTCGTGTGTGGCTGGAAGTCGGAATCTCTTCAGCTGTCACTGATGTGGGCATGGAGTCCCCTGCCTTTCCAAAGGGAACCCAAAGGGTGCCCTCGCCATTCCTCGGACGCAGCAGAAGCAGCACCTGACTCCTCTGTGCACAATCCACACGTTCCCCCTTGACCATTAGAAGGGCAACTGCCATTGTTGAATCCCTTTGATCTTTGTGCTCCAAAGTCTGCCTTTGTGTTGTGCCCCCACAAAATCTGGCATGCTTCGAAGCAGCCGTATACGTACCCTCGGCCACCCACTCGCTGATGTGTTGCAACGCTTTCCTACCTATACTAAGACCACCATGGCTGAGCCTCCCTACCGCATGCCGTTGGCCCACTGGCCTTCGTACTTCTGCCCGTTCGGAAACACCTGGCGCCGTTCGGCAGGTCGCACCCGGGGGCAGAACCAAAGGGGGAAAGGTCGGGTCTGGTGTTATTAGGCTTCCAACAACCATTAATTTAATAGGCTTGGCTTGACCCAATCAACTAAGGATTTTACACTACAAAAACCAGGTCAACCATTGGTTTTTAATGGTCTTGGAAGTCTAGGGGTGTCGAAGCATTCGGGTTTGGAGGGACCAGTCGGGCGTCGTGAACGACGGAGGGTTGGTCTGACGGTCGGACCATGGTCCGGTCTAGAAGACTCGGGGGGGAACGTCCATCCACGGATTCCGCCCGTGGAGGGCATGGGTCTGCTGGGTCTGCTGGCACGGCCATCCGAATCCTGCGGATGAAGCGAGGTACAAGCGGCGTTCATCGCATGGAAAGCACACCAGCTTGGTGCTTTCAAGTGCACAGAACTCAATTAAAAGACTCATCCAACAGAACAACTGTTGCCTGGAACTTCAGGCAGGCCTGAAATGTGAACAAAGAGAAAACAATATAGAAACACAGCATTATCGTGAGTGCTCCTCGATAAAAGCCTCGCCTTCAATAAATGTGCTTCATTCTTTTGGATGTGATAAATGCCCCAAAAGAATCCAGAACCTTCAGAAGATGACCCTGTTCTTCCTGCACACATCTTTTCTTTCCGGGCCTGAACTCCATATCCGTTCTTCTGATTGCCTCGGATGCAGCAAGAAGGATCAGCATCAGACGCATCAGACATGTGTCCTGGCACTTCAACACAGACTCAAATGTTTGGTGGTTAAGCAAGTAACATCGATGATCTGAACAAATCCCTGTTCCGTCAAGCAACGACACAGCGGGCAGTGGGGCCCACTGCCCAGGCGCGGGCGGCATGGGTGGATGGGTTTGGTCGGGGCAGTGGGCATGGGTGGATGGGTTTTTGGCCTGACTCCATGCGAGATGCGACCGGCCCTGGCCCAAGCTCCGCGCACCCCTGCAGTGGCTACCCCATGTCCGGTTCAGTCGCCACACTCTCGGTCCGCTCGGGGTCCCTCCGCGGTGGTTCGCGGTCCGGTGTGAAGGCGGAACAGCAGGCTGCGTCCGCGCTCATCATCTCCGCCAAGCAGCCGTCCCACTCGCCCTGGTAACTCGCACCTTTCTCCACCTTCCCTGTCCTGGATCCATCCTGCGATGTCGAGACAAGTGAGTCGAGTCGTTGGCAGATGATCCGTGGCAGCCGGAAGAAGGGGACCCCCAAAACGTACGTATGGAAATCGTCATGATCTATATTATCTGCGCCGATGCCGAAAACACTTTTGTTTGATGAACAGATTCTGGATGATTCGTACTGGATTCACTGGATCTTTCACATCTCTGCCCACAACGAAGTGAGATGATAAGAGAATATATGAGAAGAATTGAGAAGATCAATCAGACTCACTATGCGCGGACGCCTCTGCCAGGATCTGCTTCCCTACCTGGCTGCCATCTGCGGAGGGTTTTCTCCAGTTGGAGCGGCAGTGGATCAAAATCAGTGCCTTTGACTCACGAGACCTACGAGACCGGCAAAATTGGATCGAACTGCACCACAAGCACCAGCAATCAGGCAACATGGTGCTGAAAAATCGGGATTGTGAATTCAGACGATCGTATGTGAATAAAGATGGGTTCATCTTGGAATACAGGGAGCCCCTGTTGAAAGCCACCAGGTGGCTTGGGAAATGTCGAACAGACCTCCCACAGGCCCGCCCGCCCGCCCCCGTGACGTGACGAACTGCTGGGGTGGAAGAAGCCCAAGAAACAAGCCTTTCAAGAAACTCCAGTGCCCCCTCAACTGGGCCCCCAAGCCCAGTAGATGGTCCCTCTTTGGCCGCTCCTCAGAAGGAACCCATCGCTGAGCAAAGCAGTACGTGCAGAACAGAAAACCTGGAGATAGGCGGAGGGATCTAGCAAGATAGTTTCTTGACATGTTTTGCCGTAATTCAACAAGGATCAAATATAGAGGATGATATGCTGTTTCTCCTGTAAACCCGCTTCTATGAACTAAAGAAGTGCCATAAGTGAGTATCCAGCCACTCCAAAGCCAACTGAGGGCTGACATGTACCCGGCTCACATGTCCCAGACCTGCGCCTCTTTCACCCCCATAAAAAACCAACAACGTCATCCATCACTCAATCCATCCCATGTCGCCAACCCATCCTCTTCCATCCATACCACAGTCTTCCCATAAGAGGGCACACCCCCCCCCCCCCACCCCACCTGGGCACTGGAGTCTTTGTGTTCTCCTCTGTAACAAGTCCTCCCTCTTCCGCGAGGCACACGAGTGGGCCGGAGTGGGCCTCCGCACTTCATGGCCTTCCGGTCATGATGATGCCACAAAGGTTCCACTCGAGGCCTTGCCAAATGTTCGCGTGGCGGGTGCCCGGCCGGACAGCTGCATGATCATAAATGTGGCTCAATGGGGTGCAGTTTTAATGTGTTTTTTAGATAAATTGTGTAGCAGATGTGCACTCACTGATGCGGCTGGCTCGTTGGCAGCGCAAGTCAAGTGTGAGATGGGAAAGCTCGATGTGACCCTCGAGAAAGCTCCGTTTAGACTAGACTGCTTCTAAAACCACGTCCCGGAGCCTAGTGAAAGGGTGAACAACATCAACAGGAAGAACATGGAAGCACACACACAGCAATGGGGCATCTGCTACTCAGTGTGAGTGCTCATCTCGCTGGGCCCCCCAAACGCTCTGGTCACAATTCGTCGCTCCGTCACGTCCTCGCCCAATTCTCCATGGCCCTGGCCGAGCTCCGCCGCTGACGTCCGACATCCGACGTCCGCCGTGCTTCGATGGAAGAAATCCGAAGCGAATGGACGAGCTCCGGTTCTTGTTGAGTGGAACATGCGAAGCGGTCACAAGGTGAAGAATGGCACTTGAACATGACTCCCGCGTGAATGGAAACAGCCATGTCTTGGATGCTCTTTCTGACACTCCGGTTTCAACTCACACGGAAGCGGATGCATGCCATGAACTCCGGGATTTCAGGAAGCCTATAGTCTGTGTGTCTGCAGGTCTTGACTTTCTTCGGTACAACGTATCCGCTACCACCTCCGCCTCCAAAACGACCCACGCCAAAGCGGCTTCGAAACAAATAAGACCGTGTCTAGCGTAGCGGAGCGGACGGACGGACGCTTCGCGCCTTGAAGGATGGAGACGGAGATGTGCAGGTGGGAGACACCGGTGAAACTGGAGAGCTTGCCATGGATGATAGCACCGCCTTGCTGGCGAGGACCGAGGATGAGGAGGCGGTTTAAGGCGGTTTAAGGCCGAGAGGGCAAGGGCTGGGCCGGGGCAAAGATTAGTGAGATGCTGAATATTCTGGGGTGGGGCGAAGAACCAAACGGATCATCACCTGAAAACCATGGAAGAATAAAACACGCGGTACATGAGCTAGAAAAAAAAGATGCGCTACATGCAGTTATATGTGAATGAGCTGCAGCTAGATGGCCAATCTAGGTAAACAAGGAATCTCTTAGATGACCCAAATTCACTGGACCTTGTGGCCTTTGTGACTCTCTAAACCTCCTGCCATGCCGCAAGTGGCAAGTGCTCCAGGCTACTCAAGTCTGCTCAGCTCGAGGCTCGGAAAGGGCCCTCCGGTTCAAGGGCCAAGCTGCAGAAAGGTTGAGCCACGGTGGCCAAGTCGCGGATTTGCACGAAAGTGACGACCCACATGGCATTCTGAAGTTCCGATCCCAAAATTGTTTAAATAGTCCAATACTGTACCTTCTGTCTCATTCTGAATTTGGATCAAACAAAATAATCATGTTGCCCTTCACAAGGATAGTAAACGCTCGAACCTCCTTGTCCTAAAGCTTGCAACCTCCTTCCTGGCTTTTGTTCAACCACAAGACCTCATTGCCATGGATAGCTGGGCTTCTACTGCCATTGCTTGCTGCTCTCAAATACCTGTTTGCAGGATTGAACCCTGTTTGCTCTGAGTGTCGCACTGGCCACTGGTGCTTGCTGTCTGAGATGAGGCGGGCATGTGGGGATTGCAGGACAAAACAGCCATTAGCCTTTACTGACTCCCCAAGCTTTCCACCTGATGTCTGGTGAAACCAATTCCAAAAAGGTGACCTGCCCAGACACGAAGTCTGGACCCTGCGTTGGACCGGGGGCCGGTGTCCCTCATACAGAAGGGGGTCCTAACCTTCTCACCAATCCCTATGGTTTTGAAGCACCAAGGCCTGTGAACGGAGCGTCTGGATGGGTCGGCTCAGCCGAGTTGAGCCGACGTACATCGGCCGGTCGTCCCGTTGGCCGGTCTCGACGAAAGCAGAGCATGGATGCAAGCAAACATCTCGAAGACTCATAATTTACTGTGTTTTTGTGTATTTATAATGGATATGTGATGTCAGATGAAAAAAATACAAAAAATATCCATCAAGATGCAAGCAAACAGCTCTAGTCTACCATGTCGATCCACCTTTTTGGTAAGGTCACCATGCTTCTTCTTCCAGCTGCCACGCAACACCCAAAACATCCCAAAACCGGCTGCAGCTGTTCACGAGCTGCTCACGCCCCGCACGCCCAACGCGGCAGCCGCCTCGAGGTTTCCTCGATGCCACCAGGTGGTCCACAGCACCGGCTCCGACAGCCACGTGCCGCAGGAGTCCAACCTCGACCGGTGCGCGACGTCTCGGTGAACCGGTGAAACGGTATGTGCCGTGGTCTCCGGGTGCGGAGCATGCGGTGATTCTGGGTGATTCTGGGTGTGGTTCGTTGGTTTGGTTTTTGTTGAGGAGGTGAGAGGAGTGCCCCGCCCGGAGTTCCCCCCCCGGAGTTTTTGGAAAGTGAATGCTTGGAGATTGGGAGCGTTGGGTCTTAAAAGAGATTCCGTTGAGCAAAGGTAGTATAGGACAACATAGGACAACATTCTCTTGATGTTGAAGACTTCCCTCTGCTGACGGCATCTAAGCCTTCACCTAGCACTTCCTGTCCGGGTGCCCTGGAGTAGGAGACTTGTTGACGTAGTCTAGCCAGGACAGTCCAGCCAGGACACCGGATGACCCTGGGACAAAAAAAGTATCTTCCATGTTGCAGCTCCTTCTCCGGATGTTCTTTGCATTTCTTGGCCAAACGAGACTGACTCCTTCGCTTCGAGGACACTAGCGCTCGCTCGACAGTCAGTCAAATTGCGGGCCCAGCAGCTCGTAGAGGTGTCCAGCACGGATATACGAAAAGGCTCCCTCAATGAGCACCCACATGAATTTCCCTGGCAAAGAAGGTTTGCTGTCAATGCGAAATGTTCAAATGTCAGACGTATATCAGATGCTAAGTTGGTATGCTCTTTATACTGATCAGATCTGATCTGCTATGCCGATGAGATCCTACTTGAGATCCTACGAGCCACCCCTTTGGGGTCCAAAAATCGAGTCTGTTAGGTCTCTATGTAAGGTATGGTCAAGATTTCTTGTGTGCGGCTACTGCATTGTCATAGTTGGTGAGTCCCCTATCGTTTCTGTCAAAAGGGTATCTTCCTTTTCTGTGAGTACCCTATCGTCTGGAGCATGCCAGCATAATGACTGCAATGCTCTTACGCAATCCCAGCATATGACTGCAACGCTCTTACGCAATCTTTCAAGATGATCAACTTCTAGAATAAAGGGGTCTGGCAGATATAAACTTAAGGCACATATATGATGATCCAAGCCCTATGCGTTCATTCGTTCATCGGGCTGTTCCCTTTCGAAGACCTTGGCTTCTCGGTGGCTGTCCGAACAGGCGGACGAGGTTTCTCGACTGCACGCCTCCTTCTGCTTCGGTAAAACATACGTCCTGGCCGATGGGTGCCATGGCCGGCTACAGCCCTTTGTGTTTGGGCTGAAGGTGGCCTGATGGATCTGCAGCCCTTTCGTTTGGGCAACATCCTCCAAATCCCCAAAACCAGGGACCAGTGTCAAGTGACTCGGGACCAGGCCGGAAGGTGGCCTTCATAACCAGGCCACGTGGGGCGGCGTATGTCCATGTCGGTGCCCACTCCGATTCCGGTTTGAACATGGTCCTCACTGGCGAAGTGCTTGAATTTCATGGCTTTATGACCTCAGCAGCACGTCACGTCCCGCGTGCCCACGCGGTGTCTGGCTGCTGGCGGCGAAGGCGTGTATGCATGGTCGGTCGGGGGAATCAGGCGAGGCGGACAAATGAGTGGCCTGAGAGGGTAGATCCATTCCCAGGAACCACATCCCAAGTCCCGTTTTGGGGCTCCGGGGGTCGGCGGCATATATGGCAGTCCCATGGAGTATGGGAATCGAATTCCCAGGAACCATAACCCTAGAGCGAAGTCACCTGCTTGAGTCCCGAGAGCAAGCCGGATTAGGGAGGTGCAGACTGGTCGTCAACTGGACCAACAATCTGGGAGTCACCGCCGTTGAAAGGAGTGGAAGTGCTGCGGCAGGATCATTGAATCGTGTCCAGATGGTGGAGTCTCGTTGAATCGTGGAGTCCTGTTCGTCCTCTACCTGTGCTTTGTGGGATGGGTGCAGGATGACGATCCTCCGACGGAGATCGGTCTCTCCGACCGAGTCTCTCGGCTGTTCGGTTCGGATGAATCGGTGGTCATCTCATGCTGACAGGTAGGCAGCTGCCTAGGAAAGAAGTGTTGGTTGTATGTTGTATGTGGTATGTGGGATGATATCAAAACACCTCCAGTTGCCATTTGATCTTCATACTCTTGCGAATCAGTTGGTGCTCGGTTTAAAGCGGTTGGTGCTCGGTGCGATTGCTTAAAGAGCGAACAACGCCCGAACGATGAAAGCAAGTAGCGATGCCCTTTGTTCCTATATAGTTTCTTGTTCCTAGTAGCGATGGCCTCCACCTAGGGCGTCCTTGTTCCTAGTAGCTTCAAAGACATACTAGTATAGCTGAATTGTTGTTACTAGTAGTTTCAAAGCCTTTTCCTACCATCAAAGAGTGGGTCAAGCCTGCTGACCCCACTCAGCTCGCGGCACAATCTGTACATCACGGGCTGCATGTGCTGGTCCAGATATCCAAAGAAGGGATGTCCTGATTTTGCCGAACACGCGGAGCGTGGCGAAAGGAAAAAGGTCCCCCGCACAAAGAAACATCTCTGACATCTTGGGCGACCATGGGAAACTAATCAGGCGCGTTTCCTTGAAAAACCTATCCCATCATATCCCATCCACGTAACCATCTAAACAGAAAATCCAGGGAGTGTATAGCTCTTGCAACTTGTCGCGTATGCACCGCCCACAAGCGGCCGTCTGCCCGCGGTTTTGGCCTTTCATGGGACCACGATGAAGCTCGTAGGCCAAGAGGTTCTGCAGAGGGTGACTGAGGAGCTGCAAGAGCCTGGCGAAAACGGACGGAGCGAGTTTCACCAGGCAAATTTCATCATGAAAACCCCTCCCTCCAACATCCTCATGGTTCCGTGGATGGCACCACCAGCTGTTTGGTATGAGTTCTTCATGAACCCAAGTTGGGCCCATTGTCCCATCCACGTCACCACGTCGCCATGAGGATGTGGGAGGCAGGCGGCCTGTCACCTGTCACCACCGAGGTGGGACCTTGAGTCTTGGTGAGACCGTGGTGGCAGGATGAGCATCAGATCCCAGCGAACAGAACTCAGCGTCATTCTTCTTGTTCTTGGATCGCTTGATGGTGCTTGTGGGGTGTTGCTGTGCATTCAGAACCAAAAAAAAATGCGGACCGCGTTTTGGTTCGCGTTCTCTTTCACGCTCCACAGCTCAAGGCTTTCAGAGCTGTGCACACTGTACAGCCAGCCCCATGCTGTTGGCGCAATCCGTGCAGACTTTCACGGCTTTGCACCGCTTGGTGGGGCGGAAATGGATGGAAATGGTTCTTTCTTCCCCGTGCCACGTAGCTGGTCAGCGCGCGCCACGCAGGATGAATTGGGCATCGAATGAGGAAAACAGGACTTTCGATGAGAGCCCCCCCAGGGGGTCGGCCTCTGCCTGACATCTCATGAATTTTTGGCTAGTAGGAGTTTGGTGGCTCAGGGTTTTGCGACGGGCTCAAAGTCTCCCAAGAATTCCACCATTTCGCCCTCTTTACAGACTCCAGCTTCAGCCAGTGTCAGATTGGGGTCCTGATTGCTTCTCCATTGTTTCCCACCGAAGCGGAAGAGATATCCATTGTTCGAAAGTGTTGAGGTCGTGAGTTTCTGCATGCCGACCTCCATGCCAAATCTCCAAACACACCTTGGATTTGCTACTCCCACGAAGCCAAGAAAAAATATGCTCCCCAAAACAGAGGGGATTCACCCAGTTCGGCCAAACACACAAACAACCGATGGGCGCCCAGTTCACCAAGACACTTCTCCAAGCAAGTCTTGCCGATGGCCGTTGAACTCTTGCTCCGGTCCAAAAGTGTTACATGGAGCTCGACCAAAGGGCTGGGTGCGACGAATGCGGCAACTGGCTCAAAGTCGCCACCGAATTCGACCGCCTCTCCACCAACGACTCCTGCTTCAGCCAGGGTGAGCTTTGGATGTTGGTTACTTCTCCATTCTTTGCCTCCATGATGGAAGACGAAACCATAGTTGGACAGTGGCCCTGTGGTCAGCTTTCTCATGCCGGCATCCTCTCCGAAGCGCCAAACACATTGATCCAAGGAGGCTTGACGTGTCTCGGTCCAACTCTTAAACCTTGGGTTGGAAGACAAGGAGACCTCGAGACAAGGGCATCGCTACTATAAGCAAGAAGCTACTAGGAGCCAAGGGCATCGCTACTAGGAGCGATCGGAAGCTACGAACGGAGCTTTTTCAGGGCAAGACACTCCCCTACTAGGACACCCCAGCCGTATATGGGGATGTGTTGTTGTTGTGTCGGTGGTGAAACCGTTGGCACCCTTGGCCACCGTTTTGAGCTCTCTGGAGTTCCAAGGAACTCAGGCGAAATTCCCGTAGAGCTCCTGGCCCATATCCTCAGGTTTGGTGGTTAGACCCCCCTGGCAACCACCCCAACCATCTTCGAAACGGAGGTGGTTGGAGCTCTAGGGTTCAATCGATTCCAACTTGAGATGTTCCTTCTCTTCTCCCCAACCCCACACAAACGAAACGGGCCCAATTGATGTCAATTCCAGGCAGCTTATCCGCCAGCGTCACCTGCAGTTCCACGCGGCTCGCCCCACCCGTACCACCGCGGCTTGGCGCCGCCGCTTCGAGGTCGGCGAGGAACTCGACGGCGTCGCCGTGGGCCACGCCGAGCTGGGCGAGGGTCACGGTGGGATGCTTCACACTGCACCACTGCCTTAGCGAGCCGAGCGCCAGAATTCTTGAGCAGAGCGGTGAAGCAATGGCGGTTTCATTTCTGAGGTGTACTGGCAGGTGTCATTTACAAAAGGAGGTATATTTGGGTCTGCCGATTTTTCAGATGAGCCCCAAAAAGTGGTTCTTTTAAGGGAGGGGGTTTCTGGGGTCGGGGGTGGAAGAATTGGCATTCATCAGGTAGCATGGTATACATGGCCTCCACGGACTCCACAGACTGACTCCCACGGACTGGAGGGGAAACCGGGCACCGATGACCCAACGGATTCTCCGTTCGCATTGGTGGCATGAAAGACACACACAAATGGACTGACCAGGCCAGACCGCGAACGGCGGGTGCTCAAATTGATGAGCTAAAAAATCGAATGACGATCATTTGGATTATCATGGAATAGGTCTGCGAAGGCCTATTCATCATTGATCATCATATTCATGGAACGGTTCCATCTAGAACGGCCAATTCATTGGCATGGGCAGGTCATTGATCATCTTTGGATGGAACAAGTATGATATGGAATGGCCTGATTACTCGTCATCTTTGCATCATTGACCTGGAAAATAACATCCTCTTCCTCTATGGTATTACCCGGCAGACACTCCATGGGACTGCCATATATGCCTACATTGACCCCCAATACCATCCCAATGTAGGCATTTATGGCAGTCCCATGGAGTGTCCGGGTTCTGTCCCATTCCCCGTCACATGCAGCTCTTGCCCGAAGACTTCCGGGGAGCTCGGTGGAATCGTGAAGTCTCCCCCCATGGGAAAATGCCTAGCTCTTCAGTGATTGTCTAGCGCACGCAAGGCTCGTGACAGTGACAGTGACTCCGAAAAAAGAACAAACAATGGAGATCCCGAGACGTCAAGTGGCTGTCCTTTGAAGCGGAAGGCGTACTGACCATGGGACAGTGCTGAGGTCTTGAGGCCGGTCATTCCAACCTCCTCGCCGAAGCTCCAAACGCACTTCTCGGGAGAAGTCCTCTGGATCCGAGTGACGCTCTTGGTGATATCCTGCAGTGTCACTTTCCTGCAGCGTCGCAAACAAGAGGCTTTTGAGCCAAAAATGGCACCATGATGTACCATGGACTGAAAAAAAATAAAATAACAAACAAACAACACCCTTCTCACCTATGCCAAGTGTCACTTCGATGGATCCCGGCGCGCCCGGGCCGGCGCTCGGCACGGCGCCCGGCACGGGCGGTGCGATGGGATCGAAGTCGCCGGAGTACTCCACGAGGTCTCCGCTCTTCGTGACTCCTGCGGGTTGATGAGACGATGTGTCGGAGGTTTTCGCGGTCGGGTCAGCGATGCGGGCGCATCACCGGGGAAGGAGTTGTTGGAAACGAAGGGAGAAAACGATCTTTGAGGAATCCTCGGAAACTTTGAAGACCAACCAAGTAGAAGGCTTCCAATGATTCCATCCAATCTTGTAGACTTATATGAAGTACTCACTTGAAGACTTGAAGCTTGAAGTTCTCATGTGATGTTGTTACCCGAGCCTTCCAACCACGATTTGATAGCCTGAATTTCTGCATAATAGTGAACCACCGCATTGTTTTAATTTGTTCTAAGGAATTATACACTATACAACACCACGTCAACCATTTTTTTCATGGTCTTGGAAGGCTACAGTAGGGCGGCTAGGGATGATGTTGTTCCTCAACTGCAGACGGTCTGCAGATGCCTTGGCTCCACATGACATGGGTCGTCTGTCCATGCGCGTCCTGCTTGGGCCAAGGTGAGATTGGGATGCTCATTGCTCTTCCAGCGCTTCCCGCCGAAGGCGAAGATATATCCACAGTTGGAGAGTGTACTGGTCGTCAGCTCGTACATGCCCACATCCCGCCCAAGCTTCCAAACCTCGGAGGTGCTTGATGAGTCAGTGGCTTCAATCATCTCAAGTAAAGCTTGAACAATTATGTAATAATATTATGTCTGAAACCACCACCCAGAAAAGAACAAAAAAACAGAACTTTTCTTCAGAGAAGATCAGGTTAAGAACTTCTCACATCGGGTCAATCGACCGACCTGATCTGTCATTCAACTGGGAGTCTTTTTTCCCCAGTTCAACAAACCAAGTCTGGCAGAAAAAAGATGTCCAAATCCGCTGCCAAAAAAACTGTCTCCACCACCTAAAACACACACTGACACACCTGGTTGTTCCACCAGGAAACCGATTCGTGTAAGGAGCTCTTGCCTGTCCTGGTCTTGCTTTTGCACTTGTCCAGCAGCGTGATTGAGAGCTCGACCACTGCGCCATCGGGATGCATCGTCTGCGGTGAGAATCCGTGCCGGCGCCGGCGCTCTTCGTTGCCCTCCCTTTGAGCCAAGCTGAGCGCCCTATATAGATCATCCCATGGTTAACCATTACACCAAATAATATGTAATTAACCATTAATCATTAACCATTACACTTAAAAATAATTGTTTCCATGGCCTTCAGGCTCTACCTACTTAGGCGATCTCAACATTACACCATTACACTCAATATGTCATCAATATGTCTGGCCGTAGCCCAGACATGTCTAGAACTGCGGACTGCCGAGAGTTCCAGCGGGGTGGTGCTGGTGCTGCCAGGGGGTCTGGCTGTTTCTCGGCCCTGCCAGTCCCGTCGGTCGTGGGACTGACTGGATCCGGACCCTCAAACAGGTTTGCTTCGGGTACCAACCCCTGCTATGGAGGCTTCAACCCCAGAGGGTCCAATGGTCCAAGGATCTGGGTAATTGTCCATCCGAAGATGCCCAAAACCACGTCACTCTCGACGATTGAAACGGAGTGTACTTCAACCACCTGGTGCAACAGGTCCGGGACCTCTATTTATATATACCTTAATTATAAAACATCCTTCTACCAGCCATATCATCCCATATCATCCCGGACCATGTCAGGGATCTGAATCGATTCGGATCTGAGAATCACCATTCGCTCGAATTGGTCCTTTCGCTCGAACGCCCGGACGCCCGAACGCTCCCGAAGGAGTCACCAAAGCGTCCCACCGGAGACCGGGAGTTTCTACTGATCCCCCACCCGTCCGGAACGGTCCGGACGGTCGGTGGAAGTGAAACCGAGTGACTCAGCTGCTGTGACTCCAGTGACGTCTGACGAGGTCGGTCAACCAATGAGGAAACCCCCAAACAGAAACCAACACCGCGGCGGTGTTGAACGAGCAAGGGGGAGGAAGGTTTCTACGAGGGGGTCATGTACCCAACTTCATCCGGATCTGTCCAAGAGAAGCGCTCAGCTTCAACCAGACTACAGTGGTTTGCCAGGTTCGATGGCGGATGGGGGTCCCTACATGGTGTCTGTTACGGATGGGGGTCCTCTTCCAACCACCTACTACTGGGGTAACTAGTGCCATCTACTCTGAAGAATCAGACCTTCCGTCTCCTTCACATCTTTGCGCCTGGAAACCCGACCCAAGCGTTGAACAACATCCTCCCACTGGTTTGATGCGGTTTGAATGTCGAGTCGAGTGTTCTTTCTTAGAAACCTCCATTGGAGGCATTCCCCCCAAGAAACCTCCAGCCACCTCGCGTTTCACATGAAGCGATCGACTCGAGTGCTGGTGAAGACAAAAAGAAACACGTCGGGCCTGGCCTCACGTCTTCTGTTTTGATGTCCTGACGACATTACGCCCGTTGAGGACTGAAAAAACAGGTACAAATACAACAACAGCACCAGCATTGTACTGTTGAAGGAAGACATTTGGAAAACATATAATGTCCATCACAGCTTTTGGGGGGGTCCAGGTTCCTGTTCTTACCGATGACTGACCCATGCTGCGTATTCTCCCATCTGAGAAAGCAATGTACAGTACTCAGTACATGAATCTGCCGGTGTTCCATGAGCCTGTGGCCCCCTAAGACCCACAACTATCATGCGTTTCCCTCATAAGAGGGGTTCCCAAGTTCAAGGTGAGCCAACCAATTCCGATTCAAACAGCTTCTGTGGAAGACAGCTGAGTCTTCAAAACCTTAGCCTTCAATGCCTTCAACATCTTCACCCGACTCGACGTCCAGCCGTTGGTGAGTCCCGTGGGGGGTTGGAATCGTGTGGCGTTGGTCGCCATCCACTGGACCCGGGCCAGGGTGAGTTCGAGTCCCGGTTGGGCTCCGTTTCGGTGTTTCCATGGGCCAGGGTGCGTGGACGGGTGGTTAAGGGGGAGGGGGTCAGTCCCCCGCCGAAGCTGAGGAGATGCGCCGGGCCAGCCCAAAGGGGAGTGTACATCGAAGGTCGGAGAAGGTTCGTACCACGAATCCTCCACCATGCAGCCATGCAGGTGGATCCTGTTCGCCAGGTCGCATGGCCCACACCACACCCCACATGCCCACACCTCTCGACCCATCGTCCCCTCTACCGTTTTCGAACGAACGGTGAAGGACGTCTCGTCCGCGCCTTGCGCCGGCGCTCCACCTCGTGCTCCAGGAAGGTGAAGAGCCGCGTGCGCGTCGGCTCAAAGATCCGCTTCTCCTTGGCGCAGACCAGAGGTTGAAGGACCGACTATCCCATAGGTACCCCAGTAGGGTCCTAGTTCAGGTCACTCAACCTCTCTTGGGAAGGCGCCGTGTTTTCACCCAACGAGCCGCGGAACGACGAGGCGAGGCTGGAACGAGACGGGCGTGAGGAGAAGCGGGTCGTGGTGGACGAACTGGGCGGTGGATGGTGCCGAGGTTTTGGGTGAACGAGGAAGATGCGTGGTCCGGTTTTGGGGGAGAGTAGGTCGGTGGGCGTGTCTGGAGAAGCTGAGGGGTGCCAAGGGTGGTCAAAGACCGATTCCCTTTCGCCGAAACGACCCGGTCAACCTGCCAAGAAATGAGAACCGTTTGCCCAAAAATGGCCAAAAGGGACTGGCCCAACACATTGCTCTGCCCAACACCGCTGCCCTCCGCACCAACAGGATGTAACAGGGCTTTCCCGTTATGGGTCGACTGGTGTGCAGGTCTACTTAGCGGTCTGGTCTGCCAGTGGGGCAGCTCTAGGCCTACTCCCCTTCTGATTCTTTGAGAGGTGGGAAGGATGTGGAAGGAGGTGGCAGAAAAATGGCAGGATGTGGCAGGTTGCAAAGGGAAAAATGAAAAGGACTTTGGACAAAGAGTAGTGGGAAAAGTGTCTTGAAATCATCGATGCTTTCATGGACGGCAGCACCATGCAGCACCTGTCTGGTCCTCCAAGTCTTCGGGGCCGCGCTTGAATGTGCTGAAAGGGAAGCGACTTAGGAACCACATGCTTGCTGAGATATGGTATTAGTTTTCATTCTGTCAATTGTCAATGAGTATGGCACTAAGCCCGGGTGTTTGACGATCATTTCACGACTTAGTCGTCCGTGGCCAAAAACCGTTGGAGATTCTGGACGCCCCTTGTGATGTTGATGTGTCAGTACAAATAGTGCGTGGAGCATCTAATGAATCTAATGCCAGAACGCACGCATGCGGCGCATGGGATCAGTCCATCCGTCTCCCGGCGAGCTTCATTGAGATACTTCCGCAAGAGCCAGAACTGCCTGCGTGAACTTCCATGTAAGGCTTGCAGTTGCCTGAGAGCCAGACGACAGGAACACGACACCCGAGTTGAGGAGCCGCAATGGGATCCGTCGGAAAGAATAAAAAGCAGGAGAACCATGCAATGCCTGCAACTGGTATAGTTCCTTCGAACCGAACCTGGGGAACTGTTCATCTGCTACAGCCAGCGGCGAGGCGAGATGGCCTGTCCGTGGCGCATGGTGCTTTGAGCAGTGTGAGCCAATCAAGACTTGCCCAAGTTGCGAAGGTCGAAAGACTATACTTTGCTCCAGTGAAGCAAAGGAAGTTCCTGAATTCACCTACTTGTTCCTCAGACCAGTCTCTTTACATTCTTTCAAAGCATCTTAAGGTCCAGGTACTAGTCCAGGTTTATTCAGAACCCCACCAGCAGCCTGCAGGAACTCCAAGAAAACCGTTCTTCTGGGAGTTCAGCTGTGAAAATCCGTGGTGAATGGACTCAAGAGATTTGTGACACATCGCAAGAACCCAGCTTCTTTGAGGATGAAGAGAGGCAACGTCTGTGACTCGGTCACGCGGTGATTCCTTTTGGGGGGACCTCAATGAGGGGGAGATTTGCTTCATCAACGGTCAACAGTTGTGGCGAGAAGGATGAATCCTCCAAGACTCGGTTTTCCAATGTGGATAGCCCCACGCATGTGGATCGGATCAATTCCATTGACTCTCCCTACAAGTCCAGTCTGACCAAGTAAAACCTTGTCTTTGACCTCCTTAAGTATCGGTGTTGTATGACCATCTCCAGTAAAATGAGGTCAGCTCCTGACTTGTAGGGTCTGCTCAACACCTTGTGTTTAGCGCCACGGCCACGGCCCTCCAAGGCCAGCGGCGCCCGATGCTCGGTAGGCTGGGTGTGCATCCGAGGGACGCCACGGAATTGGTGACGCTTCCCACGATGGAGGAAAAGCCGATGAGGGCCTCAGGGAGTCCATTTCGGGAAGGAACCATGGAGTCCATGGAGCATCCTGAACTACTCCATGACTTAACTCCTGAACTACTCCACCAGGTCGTCAATTCATCCACATCCATCCACCACTACCAGGCTGGGGTCGTTCATTTTCGTTTTCCCAGACTCTCAGGGCATGACCTGACCATCCATGGGGAGCGTTCTCGTGAAAAATCTTCTGGATTCAACGACTTGAAGAAGAAAAGGTTCGGTCCAAAAACGGGGGTCGTGCGGCACGAGGATGTTGGTTTGGTACCATGTTTTGTCCATATGTAGCTATGCTGCAATACTAATTCATACCCAGGCCCAGGCCGGGGGTGAATGAACACCCAACCTCCAAGGGCCCATGGATTATGGGCCCTGAATTGGAAAACGTCTTGGATTATGTTTGAAGAAGGCTAGGCCCTGCGGCTGTCCAGACGTCCTGAAACAGGCCGACCCACGAGTGAACGGGACGCAGTCCGTCGGTGTCACGCCGCGCTCGGGCTCCGAACGAAGAACACCACCACGATGCTCACGATCCTGGCGGCAGTCGAGTCGGGACTCCAACAACGCTGGTCGAGTCGGACCAATTTGCACCAGTGAACCCCATCATCTTCGCCCCAAAAGGTGATGGCAGTCATCACAAGAAGCTTGGTCAACTGTACCCCCAATCCCGTGTTTAAACAACAAAAACGTTCCAAAACAATGCATCTCCAAGGTCAACAGAAGAAGCAGCCGAATTTATTATATGACATAAATGGAGAAGGAGAACAAACCTCCCGGTCAGGATCACACATCTCTCCAATCAATTTGCAGTCAGTTGCCTGGTGCTTTGTACCAAACGGGCATCACGAGGCCACGCCCGGAAGAA